GTTTCATCGTCGAAATAAAAGTATTATTTATCGGTTTACACATTTTATTATTTTATATATGTACAGTATACAATTTTTATACGGTTTTATAATACTACACAAAATTAAAATATTAATAAAAATAATAGATAGTTATACCGACTTATTAAATTAGGTACTTCAAAAGTTGTGATTTTGATTTTTCAGCACAAAACGTAATAGATGCTTTTAAGTTCTACAGTGATAGGACACAGATCTCCTATACGAAGGTCCAGCAGTCAGACTTTTCGAAAAACGTGAGATCTTGATACCAAAAATTCGGTCACCCATCCAATAACCGTCCTTCACAACAACTTCTTAGACATTATTTATTAGATTCATAGGCATAATAGCATCTCGCATATACACATGGTGTCTGTCTGTGTTACGAATCGTCTGTCATTGCGTGACAAAGCGTAAAATGTGCTGCGCCTAGTTAACGCCGCGCCCCTTCAGCCTCCGCACTCTCCGCGTCCAATTGCCACGACTAAACAATCTCTACAACCGTGAACGTAAATACTTCGTCGACTGTACTACACAATCCAACAATAAATGTTACAAACTGACAACTAGAACTAAACAAAAGTGTTTGTATTTATCCTTTTGGCTTAGATAAAATTATATATTAATCCTTGTTCACTATATTTAATTAGATATAATAGGACATTATTGTAATCAAGCGTGGAAAGTAGGATAAGTTACCCCTTATTGCATAAGCTATCGGCCAGTGAAAGTCTCGTTAAAATCAGTCCAGCTTTCAGAGATTAGCCGGAACAAACAGACAGACAGACAAAAAAATTGTTAAATATTATTTTTGTATATGTATCCATATGTATTTAGTGAAAAGCGGTTTTTTAATATTATAAAACAGACACTCCAATTTTGTTTATTTGGATAGACAAAATCTGCTTGTATTATCATTACAGACAATAACATATACAACCACCCCACCCACCACCATCATATACAATAAATTTAATAACAATTATCACCCACTATATATTATTATAACAAATAGTATTAATTACCTATATAGTATAACAAATAGTTGAAATTCGTTTATAGCCATTAAGCAAGTCCTACAACTAACAAAAATTATCTAAATAAAGTTCAAGCTAATAATAAAACTATTTTCGTATCAGGTAACCTCACTCTTTTATTTTAAAAGCGTAGAAATCAACGTTGCGCATAGCTATAGTCCAATATAAAACCTTCTTCAAAAGGTAATAAAGGTTTTATTTCATTGGACTCCTGTGCTGTGACGGCGCTGTGATTTTATTACGAACGCTGAACTTATAAAATGGTTGTTGTGTTTTGGTAGCACTGTTTAGGTAAACAGCATTTGTGAACGACTGAAAAGATTTTGCCAATTGTTAAACGTTTTCGAAGAATATTTTTTATTTTATGTGGATATCTAAAAAGGAAAGAAAAAGCGCAAATTACTATTTTTTCTGAGTAAGTAAATATTTCAATAATAGTTAATGTTTGTTTTTTTTTCCTATTTAAATATGGATGCCGCTACAATTAAAATAAGAAGTTGGAAAACTCATACATTAGAAAAGACCCTAAAAAGTTTTTAAATCTGTGTGTTTTTTTAAGATTTAAAAATGCAATGTCTGTTATTAGTGGTCGGTTACATATAAATTATGAATATAAGGATGTCGATTGTGACATTAAGCAATCTTCCATTGCATTGGCATTTATAACTTATGCGTTTGTTCAAGCAGTTCCCCCGCGCAGCAGTTCTTTTGTTTGTCCTATTTACGTCACTCAGTATAAAAAATGGAAAGCTTGACATATCGTGTTATTTATGAGTAAACATAGTGCGTTTTTGGTTCCAACATTTTCATTTAAAATTTCGACCTGCAAAACAAGCCCCGTGGACGGCCGGAGACCCAAGTTAATAATGAAGAATTGAAGGCTATTGTGGAAGCGGATCCATCGCAAACCACGTCCGAGTTAGCTGCAGGCTGTGGTGTCAGTGATAAAACTGTTTTAATCCACTTGAACAAATCGGAAATATTAAGAAGCTTGAAAGGCGCTTCAACTGCAGCGTTACATTACTTAACCGGCACAATAATGAAGTGTTTTTAAATCAAATCATTGCCTGTGATGAAAAGTGGATTCTCTACGATAATCGGAAGCGCTCATCGCAATGATTGGACCCTGGCATGCCAGCCAAATCCTGCCCCAAGCGAAAATTTACCCCAAAAAAGTTACTTGTAAGCATTTGGTGGACTAGTGCCGATGTCGTTCATTGCAGTTTTCTCAAATCTGGCCAGACGATTACGGCAGACGTCTATTGTCAGCAATTGCAAACCATGCTGGAAAAACTAGCTGTTAAACAACCGAGGGTGGTCAATCGCTCTACGCCACTACTACTTCACGACAACGTTAGACCACACACTGCACAACAGACGGCTACCAAATTAGAAGAGCTTGCTCCAACAGATTTTTCGAAATTTGAATAAATTCTTGCAAGGAAAAAAATTCAACTCCGATGGGGCAGTGCAAATCGCATTCAAAGATTTTATCAATTCCCGTCCGAATGGTTTTTTTAGTAAGGGAATCAATTAACTAGCTATGAGATGGTAAAAGTGCATAGATAACAATGGTTTGTACTTTGATTAAGTAAATAATTCTATTAAAAATATTCGACCTTTTGTTCCTCCCATACCAAACACCAATTTCATATGTAAGGACCTAATATTAATAATCATATGTATAATGATGTACTAATATAGTAATTTGGGATTGTTTAACAAAACTTAAAAAATTAACGTATCTGAGACCAATAACATAGAACTACATCGTATTGATTTGCCAAAAATCGTTGCTCTTCACTCTTCATTAGAGTGAAAATTCGTTTATATTCGTTTATATTTATTATGAATATAGAGATATCGATTGCTACAATAAACAATCTTCCAGTTTTCCCGCAGTCACGACCTAAGACACTCGGGACGAGACAGAATCATTTTTTTTAAAGAGACAATTAGTTTTCCTTATAGCAGGTCGAAAATAATGATATGTTATTAAATACAATATAATATATATGCTTGCTTACCCGCCAGCATTTAATACTCATATGTTCATTTTATTTGTTTTTGATATGTGTTTATCTGATTATCGGATGAAATAGTCACCGCGTCTCAAATATTAATTACATATACCCCCTAACTAGGCCGCTGGGGTTCGTATTGTTATTCACCCCGCATTCATCCCACGATGCACCGGGTGCATTCCTTGGCACACGTGCTTACTATGATTTTTTACAACACTTGCCTTATATAAACTTATATTTCTTTGTTTGTATTGTGTATGGCCTATAAAAACTGGGTTTATTTAAAGAAATTCAATAAGAATTCTTAAAAATAGCTGGATAGAAAATACATCTTTGACAGGCTCAAAATAAACTCGCGATTCAAGTTAATTCGTAATCAAAAAAACCGGGCCAAGTGCAAGTAGGACCCGCGCATGGAGCGTTCCGTACTGAAAACGAGCAAAAAAATACGTTTGTTGTATGGAAGCTCTTTTAAATATTTATTTTGTTCTATTTTTTAGTATTTCTTGTTATATCGGCAATAGAAATACCTTATATTTGAAGATTTCAACTGTCTTACTGTCACGGTTCATGAGATAAAACCTGGCGATTGTGACGGCAAAAAAAAACACGTTTTTGTATGGAAGCAACCTTAAATATTTATTTTATTATTTTTTTTAATATTAGTTGTCGATGCCGCAGCCGAAATACATCATCTATTTTTCAACTATCTAACTTTCACGATTCATGAGATGAACTGGTGACAAACAGACAGACAGCAAAATCTTAATAGGGTTCCCGTTTTACCCTTTGGGTACAAAAACAATTGATTAAACTCGTCATGGGATGCTTTTTAAAATAAACTTGCTATCTTAACGTCATTAAATATTACCAATGTAGAATTGGGTTAGTAATTGCAAATGAAACAGTGCATGAAACAACTCTGTTTTAGTAAAGCAATTAAATTAGTAGTTTTATTTAGTAATTTATGTACTAACCGAAAATCCAATGTATTGTAATAAATATAAATAAATCGATATTCCGCTTTCAAAACAAATATATTTATATTTACGATTATTACATTGCATAACAATAATTCGGAGTTTTACATTTTTTTTTTTTCACTTTATGAGCTTCGCTGAAATTTGTCTCAATATTATACACCTATGTATAAAAATACATCGCACAAATTTTCAATTTTACTAAAGACACGATTTCAAGTTCAATTCGGCTGTTAGAATTTCTCACCTGACATTTTCGCGAGTCCCGCTTTCGGGGAGCGGCGAGAAGGGAATGGAGTGGGGTCGTTATTCACAATTAAATTTTTCTGGCTCGATTTCGCAGTGTGTATGAGCGCCACGCCGCCGCAGCACTGGGCGGAAAGATGTGGATCCCAAACTCTAAGCTATTAATTTATGATTTTTATATAAACTTTTGTATTTTGAAGAATTCTTTCAGATTTAATTGTTGACATAGTTTTTACATCCCGATTAGTGATGCGAAATTCCAAGATGAATCGTATTTCAAATACTATACTTCAAATACTAACTGCGATAAAAAATGACGAATATTAAAAGTACCTGTGTTTTTTTTTTGTATATAGGGGAATTTAAGATAAATGTACATTGGCAAATCTGTACTTTATCATTTTATTTTACTTATAAATTAATGTGTTTGCAAGATGAGATGTTTGTCAAATGTCTATTATATACTTTATATATCTATTTTTATTGTGAAATGAAAGTTTATCATTTATGTTTTGTGTCTGTCGAATGGAAAAACTTGGTTAAATCAGATTTATATGCCTACCAAATCAAAAAAAAAAAAACAATGGAAAATGCTCATGCTTGAATACCAGTATGCTCTTTTACCAAAATGGCTTGAAGGATCTTAACATTAAAGATAAGATGATTTTTACTAAAGTTTGAGAGCCACGTACTGCCACTTTAATATCGTAGCGGCGACGACACAGCGGCGTCACGTGCGCGCCAAAGATACACTAACACAGAGACGAGAACACGCACACTACCGTACAACCCAACATTCATTCAGACCAAAATAAAACTGAAATAGGTAGCTTTCCGCACAACAAGAAAAATGTTAGATCTTTTAACTTATATTTATAGTACTTACTCTATATTCGAGGCGTAATTACCATTAAATCTCTGTAGAATTTACAGCCAGCTGCTAAAATTGAAATAATTTCGGAGGCTCGTAACCTAAGCTATATGTAACATAACTACATATAATGACATAACTATAAGTAACATAACCACATAACAACAACTATAAGTAACATAAGAAAGATGAATGTAACCTAAGAGATCCTCCGACTAAAAAGGAATTTTATATAGCCATGACATAATACCACTTGTTTCTTTTAATTTTAAGGTCGATATTGGTAGTCGTGTTTTTAATTTTCTTATATTATTTCTTTCAGTGAGCAGTTAATTATGTATACAATTTATATATTTAGACCTTAATTTGATAACCATATTGCTATAATTAAAGAAAAAAATCATACCTTTTTAAATACCGTTCGTCATACATCCGCTATATTGAATATTTCAAAATATATTATAGCCAATGTCACTCGGGATAATGTAACGTTTCTAATTCATAACCCTAAACACTCCTCTTTGGGAAGTCGTGTTAAAACTGGTCAAGTGCGATATAAAACGCAAAAAGAACATGTTGGTTAAATATTTATTATATTCTGTTATAGTATTTGTTGTTATATGGGCAACAGAAACTTAACACAACTAAAACTACTGGTAGGCATGCATTACATGGATGACGCCTATATACTAAAGGTAAATTAAGGTGCTGGATGGCGCAGCACCTTAATTTCAATTTTCACAACGGCTAGACATATGTTATTCTCCCAAATGGGAAGCAGATCTTTATTTTTTGTGTTAAATTAGATACAGTATCAGCTGCTGATATATTGCCTGATTTGGGATTACTACTTTTCCCTTTGTGTCCCTGGAGCTTTCTTATAACTATTACATGATTTGGTTGCTTCTTTGTTTTCGTTTTAATTTATTGACAACTAACTGACCAGGCGAACTTCGTACCGTCTTATACCCGTTTAAAAAAAATATACAAGCCGTGTCATGAATCGTGTAACACATAAAAAATTAAATCATCCAATTTGGTGCAGTCGGAACTGGAATTCGGAAGTTATTATTAAGTTTTTGCGCGTATTTTTTTATTTTTCAATAAGACATTAGTTGATATAGTGTGAAAGGTAATTTTGATCTTCTTTACAGGCACGTATCTAATTTATTATTTGAATAAGGATTACTGTATTGTTAAAAATAGGTTCCATTTTATCACATCATTTTACTGTTTTAAGTATACGTAAAAAAATGGTTATTGTGGTTTATCCTTGGAATATAGACATATACCGCCGCGGACTTGTTTGTAGATCTATAAAAGAGGTACAATTCCACCATAAAATATTTTGTTATTACCTAGTTTTTGGCGGCGTTTTCAAGGAAAGCTTCCGATCGGCTTTATTTTTTCCGACATATTGAACTTATATCGTTTTAATATCGTCAGTTTGTACAAATCCTTATCTTACTATACACTTAAACCTTCCTTAAGAAATGCTCTATCTATAGTTGAAAACCGCATGAAAATCCGTCCAGCCCTTTTCGAGTTTATCGCGAACAAACAAACAGACAGAAGCGGCGTGGGACTTAAGCGGAAAATGTAGTGATATTGATTAACATATTTCTGTTATATAAACTTATATTCAGGTTGTATCTAAGTAATATTTTATCCTCCGTGATTTCGTCCCGGCTATGTCTGTTGTCGTTAATCTACCAATACGCACTGGGTCTGCGTGATAATCCATTTTCTCATTAAATATACTGTATATATGGTAGCGTAGCTCTCGACTTTTACAAGTGCTTGTAACAGCCTAGACTGAATAAATAATTATATAATTTTGATTTGATTTGGTACATTTATTGAAAAGTTAATTAACTATTGAATCGCCCTCATTACATTCACATTAAAAGAATCTAAACTTTTTCTAAGACTCATCAAAGTATATATAAAACTTTTATGCATTTTTATTTTATTCGATTTCATTATAAGACAAACACATCGATGATTGTGTTCCAGTGTACCTTACATGGGATTTTTTCCATATCATAACTTTTTTATCAAAGCTGCAATCGACCGATACCAGTCATAATCATATTTATCTACGTCAATAAGTGAACAGCTTAAATATCAATAATATTATGTGGCCTTGATTCCGTGAACGAGTTAAACCTGTATTATTGACTTTGAATTTTTCTTTTTAAGTCCTTCCAATAATTTTAAATAAATAAAATATAATAAATTCGGTATATACATAATACTAAATTATAAATAGGCTACTTTTAATTCCACTGAATGGTTCCCTAAAGATAGAAGTAAGTTCATATTTTATGTAATTGTTCTAAAACAATATTTTTTGTGAACGTTACCTAATGTGTTGCCTATTTTCGTGATATATGATTGCTTTCTAAAGAAAAGTTGTAAAGCTTTTAAATATCTTTTAAAAAAAGTAAAAGTAAATCAATGGCATATATCTTTTTACTAAGATTTAGTCACACAAATAAAAGAACTTCGTAAAAGTGGCAAAAATGTCAGTTTACGAATTAGAGTTAGATTTCAATATTAGTTAGAGTTAGATTTGAATAATAATTAACTACAGCGGTAATATTGAAATTTAATCAAAACCAAATATTTAAACTAACCACAAATAGGAGGAGTAGTTTAGTGTACACGCATATGATGAATATATCACAAATATTGAATTTGGTGATGGTTAAAACAACTATTAGTAACAAAAACATCATTCAGTGCAAGATTGGCATTACTGATGATCTAATTCGCAAAAACTTATCTTTAACAGTATAGCTCTTATATTGTTGGAGAAGGAAGACTAAGATTAGCTGGACGGAACTTCAAATGATAAATAAGTACTGAGAATCGACAACAAAGATAGGTAGAATATTCTCTTATTAGCAAGAAAAATTCCAATAATCGCGCTAGGCAAAAGGCTCAGAACCTCTGAAGATATACATTCCTTCAGAGTAGTAGTTTAAACTGACGCAAAAAAATACTGGAATTAAACGTGAACTGTGCACAAAGACAGGTATTTTCTAGAAACGACGTTGTCAAAGGAAATAAAAATCTCATTACACAAAGTCTTTGCGAAATCAAATTACAGTTCCATCGATAAGGTAAACTAACTTTGTATAAAAGAATATCGAATATCGTGAAGACGATTATTAAAGTTCCCCTTCATAAAAAAAGCTTATTCCTATATAATTAACTTCTATTTTTTTATTATTACTAGAGAAGTATTTTTTCTTCCTCAACTATCGCTACTAATATTATAAATACAAGTATTTATAGAAAAGTATCTGTCTGAACTCATTTCGATGATTTTTCACTAAAATTACAAAGCTTCAACTCAGTAAGTTAATTTAGAATAGAGCGAAGATTTGAAGGCCAAACTTTTAACAGCCCGTTTTAAAGGATATTATTGAATTTATTGGAATAGAAAACGTCTTTAAATTTTTTAAAGTCCGTTATGAAATATTTATTTAGGTAATGACAACTACATTGTCAAGTAAATTATGACGATATAATTCTCCTAGTTTCTTTTTTTTTTAAAACAAACTACTGATTCAATTTCGGCAAAGGTTCAATGGGACCATTATAAAAACTACAAATAAAATTCCTTATGAATGGTTAAGGAGGATTGGCCATAACCACGCTGGCCCAATGCGGATTAGAGGATATTAACGACTGCAAATGCAGCCATGACCAACAATTTACATGCCTTCTGAAGCACGGAGTCGCTCGAGATAATAATTTTATGGTCACCCATCCCGTGACCAACCGTTGCGAAAGTTGCTTAACAGTAACGATCGCGGGCCGTAGCGCTTATCCATTACGCCACCAAGCTACTCTACTTATATATTCTATCAAATATATTGTAAAACCTATATAGAATTGGTTCCTTTTTTGAATTTGGTAAAAAAATAGACTACTGGAAATACTACTGCCACACAAACGATGTTGCAGGCAAAAAACAGTTGTTTTAAATACTATTTAGTATTAAACTCGGTTTTATGTTTACTTTGGTGGTCCTTTGAATACAATCCTGGTTTATCTTTTTTTATTCCTGCTAAATAGTCATTTATCGGGTTTTGTATCTGTACATCTTTTCTACGCTGGTTATTTATTTACGTCCATGAGTCATTTGATGTCCATCCATCTGTAACGGAGGTAAACTAAATTTACATAAGCATTTTTCCTATACTTTGATGCTTCTTTGCTGCCCAAATGCTTCCCAAAGGATATATCTCTGTGGCAAAAAATATGCTATCATAGTTTTTGTAACTTGGAGACTGCCTTTGTGTTGTTATCTAAATAAATAAAAAACGAATCGCTACACATGTTGCTGATCGCGAAGGTGTTTTTTAATATTCATTTGAATCTGAGAACAGATCTTATGGAGAACAAAAAATAAAAAATCTAAAAAGATTATATTAAAATCAACCCCCACCGTCGCTATGAAATTCGCTGGCTCGCCTAGTTATTATTATAAAGCGTGTCATAGAATCATTTGTATTAAACCCAAAAAGAGTTATAGAGTCACGCTTTAAAAAAACTGCAACGAGTCATCCCCAGGAATTAAGGGCTATCAGTTTCGGCTAGCGAAAGCACCTGTTAGGCCCCCAAAATTTTGTCCCTTCACTTTTATCCTACAGTCGATTATAAACTTTAACCTATCATCAGTTAGGGTTCAATTAACAATGGGTTAGTGAAATACGCGTGTAATTTCGCTCGAAAATCCTCTTAATGCGATTTAAAATGCGACAAATGAAAGGTAACAAAACATACGTGTACTTAACAAATGGGAAATTGGATTAAATAAATTCATCTTCTAGATGAAAATAGCTTTTTATTAA